CATTATACTTTTTGCATTAACCCTGCTGTACCCCAGCACAGGCAAGCAAGCACATACTACCCCCAACACTAGCCTTCTACCAGAAGCAGCTTTTGGGCTGTCGGAAGGACTGTTCCAGCTGTGTCCCTGAACCAGATCACTACAGCTTGTTTCAGGGACCAGATAACTATCTCCATTTCAGGACTTTAGGGGCAGCTTGGTTGATGTTTAATCAATTGTCAAAGTGTTTGTAGAGCTGCATTGATTTTAAAGAGTGAAGACAGGCATGGCAGTCAGAAACGCCTTGTCCTGTCACTCCATTATTTAACCTTGTCTGAGAATACCCAGAAGTACAGGCCAGGGGAACCTGGGTGATCAGCCTCCCCCATCCCCAACTCCATCATTAGCACCTACTGGAAATGCATCACTCTTTGGGAGGGCTGTGCTCGTTTTGGCGGAACCCACTTTGCTCTTTTGAGGAGTACAGGCATTGCGTCTCCTTTGACTGGAGTTATTTTTCTCATAGAACTTTTTAATACCAGGAACGGTAGGTCAGTAAGAAAGATTCATTGTCAGCTGTCTGATCCCATTCTGTTGGTGGAACAAAGGTCACAGGACTGTATCGAGGCAGACTTGGATTGACATATCTGTGTTGCTTTTAAACAGCTGGGTCACCAATCTGGGCTTCAATTTCTTCTGTAAAATGGGATGCATTTGTTCACAAAGGCTATGGCAACAAAGGACCACAGACTTAGTGGTTCAAACAAGGGAGCTTACTTTAACCATGTGCTGGTGCTCTGGAAGTTGGGTCGAGGTGTGGACAGAGTCAGGTGCTTTCCTGGATAGGTGTGGATGCCTTGCAGTGTCTTCAAGTGTCTGAGCCTTAGTCCCCCTGTTCTTATACAGACACAAGTCATAATGCATTCACCACATCCCCGTATGCTCTCATGTCCCCTTAATTACCTGTGTAAAGGGTCTGCCTCCCAGTACGGTCATGTCCTGAGTGAGGTACTGAGTGTTCAGACTTCAAAATGTTAGAGAGTGTGCCACAGTTCAGCTCTGGGAGGCTGGGAGGTGGTGAGGTCCACAGGTGGTTTTCTGCCAGCTCTGATCGTTAATGCCCATGCCCTCGGAAGGCTCCAGAAGCTGGTGTGACAAAAGCGGTTGTTCTGAGAGCTTTCCCAAGCTACAGAACTTTTGGTAATAAGACAGAGGCAGTCCCAGCAACACGGCTGGTCGCCCCTCTAGATCTCCCTCAGAGGGCATAGTCAAGCACTTGGATTCCTGCCCTTTTCAGCCTGAGCTTCAAAGCTTCTCTTCAGCTTCTATCTCAGTGCTACCAGTGGATCTGATGGTCTCCATGGCCCTCTCCTCTTGTAAGGTAAGCCCAGCAGAGACCACCACATTAAAGTAAAAAAGAAAGTCGTTATTGCTTCGTATGGAACTTGTCCAAATCACTCAGCCCTGAACCCTGTAGCTCATTGTCTTTGATGCACAAAAACCACATCCTGGTTGTCACACCTCAGTTAGCAAGAAGCAGACCTAGAGAAGCCAAAAGACAAAAAAAAACAAGTTTGGTACATTTCGGGACCTTCCTGGAACTATGGACTAGGTTGTTGATAAATCAGGCCTTTGTTACTACTTTGGCAGGTGTTGGGGTGTATGCGCTGGGTTTTAAGGTCAGGGTGTTGCCTCTGACATGACATCGGTTGTGCTAACATCCGGGGACCTGTTCCATTCCTGCTGCCGGATTCTCCGACAGCATTGTCCAAACCTGGAATTCTGTTCATGTCCAAAATTAATAACCGATCAGAGCAAAACTCATTTGCTGTGTGGGTCAAAAGTAAAATAAGACAAAATGGGAAGTGCCTTCTAAACGTCCTTGGGTCTGAGGCAGATCTCACTGTGCTCCCTGAGCAAGTGCTCCCTATGCTCAGTGTACTCCATCATCTTCTACTCTAGGCAGCAGTGCTGTGAGTGGAGTGAGAACATGACTTGGGGGCAGCTACTGCCACTCTGTGATTTGAATGGAGAGTCTGAGGCAAAGAGCCACAGCCCTAGCTGAATGTCCTGCTGGCCAGGGGAGTAGCAGGATAGCTCTGCCAGTTTGACCAGAGTGCTGATGAGTCCAGAGCTGAGCCCAGATGCTGGTGTTCCTGCTGATGGGGAACAGGGGTCATTGTAACAATGGGAAGGCCACGTACTAGGACCCAGTACAACCGTCTACCAGTGACGCCAATACTGAGTGACAACCTGTCAGGATCTAGAACCACGTGGGAGACAAATCCCCGGTCATGTCTGTGAGAGTTTCTAGATCAGGTTAATTGAAGGGGGAAGATGACACTCTAAATATGGATGACAAGTAGCAGACAATGTGGTCTGATGCCCCTCTCCTCTTCCCCCCAGCCTGTCTGGCCGAGCCCAGCTTGTCTTCTTTCTCTCATGGAAGCTCAGCTTCAGAACACTGTCAGGGGGCAGGGAGCTTGAATGGGGGTGTCCCCCCTACTTGGTTGCCAGCTGGTGGTGCTGTTTGGAGGAGCTTGTGGAACCCTTAGCAGATAGGCAGATGAGGGGGTCACGGGCAAGGTCACAGCCCACCCTGACCCTAGCCCAAGTCATCTGGGCCCTCTCTGCTACGGGCAATGTGGCCAGGTACCATATGTGCACCCCCACAGAGCTGGTCTTGTCCCCTCTTCTCTGCCACAGTGGTCTGTTTCACCCCAACCACACACCTCTCTCCTGTTTCCCAGATATTTGTCACAGTGACAGGAACAGCAACTCGGTCTTGGAAGCAAAGAGCAGTGAGCGATATCACAGCAGTTGCTCCTTTGATAACTAATTCTCCCTTAGTCTCCCGATGACAGCAGGGAAATCTGTGCCAGCTGTTAATTCCGCCCCATCCCTGGGAGAGTCCCAGTTTGACGACCAATCACTGTTATCCTGGAGCCAGGGGCAGCAGTACCTGGCTGGACTTGAATAACTGTCTTTCTTCTACTATAGTTGGTTCACTTTGATATGAAGTGAATGATACTGTTTTCCAAATCTGGGGAAATGCTGTCAAGTGTCTTTTAAAGATGTCCAAGTGGGAAGAGGGAGTAATTTGGAAGTACTTATAACCAAGGGCACAGAAGGTATAGAGATGCCACAATGCTGTGAATTTACAGTGAGGAAGCCTGGCTTTGAGAGGTGCTGGGTGAGAGGAGAGCTTGCAACCCCTCAGGACCTTGAAAGCAGCGCTCAACGGCTGGACTTGATCAACCAGCTGAACCACTGGCTTGGATGGGTTCTCACAGTGCTGGCTACAGGCACATGGGAGAACAAGATTTGGTTTTGTGAGAGCTCCTCCTCCTCCTCCTTCTCCTCCTCCTCCTCCTCCTCCTCTTCTTCCTCCTCTTCTTCCTCCTCCTCCTTCTCCTCCTCCTCCTTCTCCTCCTCCTCCTTCTC